ATCCTGTTCTCCTCTTCTCTACCAAAACTTTCCCTGACTCTTATGACACTCCCCAGAGTCTTATCGTTATGTTATACAGTTTTACAAAAAAAAGTTTTACATTTTTTGTAAAGATTTTATTATTTTAACACCTTTCTTACTTATATTTTATAAAATTACACTTGTTTTAATTATGATTTAATAATATGTTCACTAAAAAAGAAGGGTGTTTACCTGTTTTTTACCGTATTCTTTGTGTGGTAATAAGATTATGCCGAGGAAAAATCTGGGTGAATACTTCTCACATCCCAAGCCAGTTTACAGTAGTTGCGGGTTTGTAATCAAAGGAAATCAAACGCTACCCACTGCACTTCAGTCAACACTGGCACGACACAAGTAAAATATCGGGTTGTAATCAAAGGAAATCGAATCGCTACCACTGCACTTCAGTACACTGCTCGACACCAAGGAAATATCGGCGTTGTAATCGAGGAAACGAAATCGCCACCATGCACTTCAGTACACTGGCACGACACCAAAGGAAATACGGTTGTAATCGCGCGAGGAAACGAATCGCACCACTGGCACTTTCAGTCACCCTGGCACTACATCAAGGAAATACGGGTTGTAATCGGTCGGAAATCCGTATCGCCACAACAGCTCACCAGTAACACTGGCACACGACATCAAGGAAATATCGCGGTTGTAATCGGCAGAAATTCGACGGCACACCACTGCACTTCAGTACCACTTCGAACTGGCACGACATCACGGAAGAACGGGTGTTGTAATCGGAGAAATCGAATCGACCACCACTGCAACTTCAGTACACTGGCACGACATCAAGGAAAATATCGGGTGTAATCGGCAGAAATCGAACTTCTGCCCCACAGCACTTCAGTACAGGACGACATCAAGGCAATATACGGGTGTAATTCGGAGGAAATCCGAATCGCCACCACAGCACTTCAGTACACTTGGCACGACATCAGGGAAAATACGGTTGTAATCGGCAGAAACGAATCGGACCAACCACCTGCACTTCAGTACACTTGCTCGATACAAGGAATAATCGGGTTGTAATCGAAAAATCAAACTGTATTATTTCACCGACAAGTGATACACGTCGTAATAGGACGACTTGATTTACACAGTCATAGTATCTGGTTCCTAGAAAGGAATAAAATACCGTGATTAGACTTAGGTGACTTTTAGGGTCAACGAAAAATAGCAGCTCCCTTGGGAACGCTACGATTGAGGTCGTGGTGACGTGGTGAGATCATTCAAAGGTAAATACGGGTCTAGAATACAACATCGGTCCGATGAGGACAGTCTGGAGTTCTCTGTCCTCCTCAAAATGAAACCCCCACCACTCCAGACTGTCAATGACTTTCATCCCGTCCCACAATGACTTTGTCTCGTATGGTGAGAGTCTGTGTATGACACCGTCGAGACCCTGGTCCGAGACACACATGACAATGCACTCCTGATATTTTATTTGATTAATTTTTGCAGAAGTCTTCATTAGTCGAGTAGCTTCATTGCTCCTCGATTTATTCCAAGTTAGAATTAAGATGACAGTCGTATCACATCCAATTTACAGGAACGTCCTAATCTTTGTACGTACAATGTTCATATAACGACTTCCAGTATTTCACAAACCGACACCCGACTCAACACTGACACGGCAGTCCGCTAATACACCCAATGAATAGCAGATACCATTAAAGCGATCGTCCTCACATGCCCTCTCTATTTCAAAGGTCCACCTGGTCTCGCCTCTGGACAAATGTCATTACACAGTTTCAGGTCGTTCGCGTCCGGTCCGCACGACTGAGAGCCAGACGGCGAGGTTACGTTGTCCGTCTCCTATCGTCAAGTTCAGGCACGTGTGTCTGTTACTAGTTGTGAAAATGTCGATATTTTCTATATAAGGTTAACAATGCGAAACCATGTTCTATTGGACTTCCCCATAACACACACACTCTCTCTTTGAAGATCCCAACTCACTTGGTGTCCCCCGAAAATCGGAAACGTCCCTGGAATTGGTACGTGTGTTTGGGGTAATTTGGTGTAATGTCCTTACCCTTTTTGGACTGTAAAGACTTCATCCCAGAAATTTGTAGGTGGTAGGTGTCCTGTACAGGACGTGTTCTCTTATAATCGTGAAAATGGTCGCTATTTATATCACGTTAAACAACGGCGAAATCCATTTTATTGGACCTCAAGAAAACTGTATAAGTCAACTTTACGAAAATAAAGAAGGGTTAACATTTAAGTAGGGAAAGGATAAGTCCGTCGACTTATCCATTTTACACTAACTGTGTGTGTGAATGTCCGTACTTGCATAGCGAAAGTGCTGTGTGTGTGAGTTAACGTATGTGTCCAAAAACGAACCTAGAGACAAAAAACCGGACATATGAGTACAAGATAAACTCGTAATAGTCCCACGGTTGAGAGTGCTAGACCGCCACACTGGTCAGATACGCACACTTGTGCGAAAGTAGAGTTAGATGGCAAGGAGGTGCGCGGTTCGATAGTGTGGTTTTCCTGTTCTCTTGGCAACCCGGCTACTCAACAACCAACCAATAAATGTTAAAACCAAACTGTTCGGACGAGTCCGACAGCTAGGCGGTGGGGGTAAATTGTGCAATTGCTGTACGTCTCGTCACCCTCGGCCAACCAGTTAGGGCCTGGGCATAACGCGGTACGCGTACTAGATTCTAGGTCTACTTTACTATTTTTCATTTCCCAGACGACGAATAACAAATGTATGGTTTATCTCAGTTTCGCATATACTCTCACCTCACACAATTAATTATATAATCCGTCAAACCTCATGTCCAGATAATAAACAAACACACACACACAAGTACATAATCCGAAGAGTGAATATAATTAAAACAACCTAATGTAAAAGGGCCTTTAATAACGCTATTTGCTATTAAGAACAGCCGTGGCAACATTTCAGTACCTGGCCCCCCCCCCCCCATCAAGCCATCAAGTTTGATAGTTCTATACCCCCCACTCTAACCTTCCCTTATATATAGTCCTTGAAATATAATGTATTATTAATATATTATTATTATTAATATTATTATTATTATTATTATTATTATACTGACAGGTATCAGATCCTGCTGTGTAAAATAATCTTCCTGAGAGGTGTCACTTGTGATGTAGTCTGTGTGGTCCACAGTGAATGTATTCCTGACAGCAACAGGTGATAAGAATCAAAGGTTCAGATTCCATAGAAAAGGCATGCGGGTCATTTTTGACCCACTTATATATAGAAGCTTGGGGTGGTAATACAAAAACTACAATTTCTTAAAATGTACATTTAAAATGTGAATGGCATGATATCCAAAACATGTTTTTTGAGGAATTGCTGAAATATGAAATGATAAAAAAATGTAATTACAAAGATAATTCAAGAAAACCAGAAC